CAGGTAAACCATATAAATCACAGCTTCTTTAGTACAAGCATCTAATAACACCGTCTCAGACAACCAGCATCATCTCATAAACAGGTAAACCATATAAATCACAGCTTCTTTAGTACAAGCATCTCAGAACATCGTCTCAGACAACCAGCATCATCCCATGAACAGGTAAACCATATAAATCACAGCTTCTTTAGTACAAGCATCTAATAACACGTCTCAAACAACCAGCATCATCTCATGAACAGGTAAACCATATAAATCACAGCTTCTTTAGTACAAGCATCTAATAACACCGTCTCGGACAACTATCATCATCTCATAAACAGGTAACCCATATAAATCACAGCTTCTTTAGTACAAGCTCCTCAGAACACCGTCTCAGACAACCAGCATCATCTCATAAACAGGTAAACCATATAAATCACAGCTTCTTTAGTACAAGCATCTCAGAACACCGTCTCGGACAACTATCATCATCTCATAAACCGGTAATCCATATAATTCACAGCTTCTTTAGTACAAGCATGATGCCATCTCAGACAACCAGCATCATCTCATAAACAGGTAAATCATATAGTACACAGCTTCTTTAGTACAAGCAATATTGGTGTAGACCTGTTAAGATGCATATAAGCTGTACATTTGTAAAGATGAATATAAACTATACATTCGTTGAGATGAATATACGCTACATCTGTCGAAATGCATATAAACTAACTGTATATCTGTTAAGATGTATATAATATGTATATCTGTTAAGATGTATATAATATGTACATCTTTAAATATGCATATAAACTATACAGATATATATTAGCTGTGTATATATACATCTTTACAGATATACAGTTAACATACCGGGGGGTACATTTTCAGTAATGCACAGTTTATATGCATCTTTACAGATACACAGTTAACGTACATTTCCAGTATAAATAGATATAAGAAAATGTGGTATGAGTGTCAATGAGACAACTCTCCATCCAAGTCAAAATTTATAAAAGTAAACCATTATAGGTCACAGTACGGTCTTCAACACGGAGCCTTGGCTCACACCGAACAGTAAGCTATAAAGGGCCCCAAAAAAATTACTAGTGTAAAACCATTCAAACGGGAAAACCAACGGTCTAAAAATCTATATAAAAAACGAGAAACGAGAAACACTTATGAACCACATCAACAAACGACAACTACTGAACATCAGATTCCTGACTTAGGACAGGTGCAAACAAATGCAGCGGGTTTAAACGTTTTAATGGTACCAAACCTTCACCCTTTTTCTGAAACAATAGTGTAACATCACAACATAGAAAGACACACTATAAAATATCAACTGAAATAGCTTAACTCAATCAAAGGACATATTAACACCATTGAACATACACTGAACAAATAAATTAGACCTATGACACAATGTAAATACAAAATAAATAAACTAAGGGAAGAATAATAAAAGTAACATATTATATCGGTAAGAAATGTTAAACAATTAAAGAAAAACAATATGCTCGAACAAAAATATCAGCCATTTCCAATAACTTTAAACACAGGTAAATGAAAATAATTTTGTTGTTAGGTATACGTGTACAGTACCAATAGAGAAAGGAAATATTTTTACAAAATAAATAATTTTGATGTTCATAACTACGAAGTGAAAATTTATAGTTATACCAAACACTTGTCAAAGCTGGTATATAGACCAGATATAACCCTGAATAACATTAAATAACAAAAAAGCAATACAATTAGTATCAACAGGTCAAATAAACAATAAAATACGATTTGAGAGTACTCGCAGTTACTGACAGCTGGGAATAGTATATCATATATATGTTCCTGCTGACAGCTAGTTAAAAGCCAAAACAATTAATAAAAAATCATGCATCAGAGACTAAAACCAACTAAAACACATCCCAGGGATTTAGTATTTTAACGTCATGGACAGTCAAAGAAGACATGACTAGTGCAATGCCAAAAAAAATGTATCGACAGACAGTAGGATAGTTAGGAGTTTAACCTCTTTATAGATCTAAATGAACGTGGGTGTGTCTTTATACATCCCACTTGAAAAAAATACAAATTTAGTTATGTTTTAATTTGCTGATGACAAAATCGATATTAGTGCCAATGTAAACTATATTCAAAGATCTAATTACAACATTGGTAAGATAACCTTTACTAATAAGTTTGTTTAAAGGTTCGATGAGTTTACACGGATCACAGTGATTTCCGCGCTTTAAGTACAATATAAAATTTAGGATGTGAAATACCGTTTTTAATCAGTTTTCTACAAGTACAGCCAAATTTACTAATCAAATCTTTGTATTTATGAAAGAACTTAGAAAAAGTTTTACGTAATTTATGGTAACGAAATCCTTGATTTAATAATTTACCGTGATGCATTGATTACGTTCGTTAAAATCTATGACATCACTACACAGACGGGCATAACGAACGAGTTGGGATATATATACAGCGTATGATGGAGCCAAAGGAACATCGCCGTCTAAAAAAGGAAAATTAACAATAGGGAATGAAAAATCGTCTCTTTTGTCGTAAATTTTCGTATGGAGTTTTCCTTTAGAGATTGAAATGTCCAAATCCAGAAAAGGACAACTACTGCTGTTTATGTTAGATTTAGTTAAAGTAAGTTCTATTGGGTAAATTTCGGTAGTATATTTAGAGAACTCTGGATTATTTAACGAAAAAATATCATCTAGATAACGGAAGGTATTGTTGAATGTATCAACCAAATGTAACAATGACGTGTCTTTACTGAGTTTGGTCATAAACTGAGATTCATAGCAATACAGGAATAAATCTGCTATTAAGGGGCGCAGTTAGTGCCCATAGGAATACCTACTACTTGTCGATACACTCTATTGCCGAAACGTACATATATGTTGTCCAGGAGAAAATTTAAAGCTTCAATCATATCTTCACATTTCCAGTAAGTGTATCTAGCATACTTTCCTTTTTCGTTACAGAAAAAAGCTTTAAACGAGTTACAGCAAATAAATTTGTAATGAGATTTTTCAAAAGACCATTTAACTAAATATGAAAACTTTTTCTTGATAAGATTGTGTGGAAGTGTAGTATAGAGAGTAGAAAAATCATAACTGTCAACAGAATTAAAAGGACCATCAAAAGCATATATTTTATCTAAAACCTCTAAAGAATTTTTAACACTCCAAAAATAATTAATACCATTATTTTCATAAGCTTTATTACAAAAGTTAATAACAAGTTCTTTGATAGTAGTAAGGGAGGTAGTTAGAAGCACTGATAGATTAGTAGTAGAACACTTACTAGATGCGGAGGTGAAACGGAATTTAAATGGTTTTTTGTGCAATTTAGGTAACCAGTACATAGTAGGGACTTTCAAATGTTCGGAAGAGGCCTTAATCTGGGTAGTGGCAGTGATATGCTTGTTTACAATTTGACTCTCTGTGGAGCGTACGGACCTGAATGTAGATGAATTTGTAATTTCGTTTTGGAGAACTTCCGTGTAGTATATGCGTCACAACACCACTACATTATTTGCTGCTTTGTCTGCCGGTACGAACACAAACCGCTTTGCGAGTACTTGGAGTTTATTTTTTATTCTGGAAATGGGAATATCATGGACCCTATTACTAATTTCAGAATTGTTTTCAAAATGAGATATACGAATATTAACAGTATTCATAATTTTATTCAAATAACTGTCTATAGAGATTTTTTATCAGATTTTTCACGTTTACACCAATTTTTACAGTAGACAGACAGAGCGTCTTTAATGATCTGACGACACTGTTTCCAATCTATTTTAGATGGAGGACGATATTTCGGTCCTTTCTTAAGAAAAGTTATGACCTCACGGTCTTCGACGATGTTGAGGTCTCCTGTAAGGACATGACCATAGGGAACATATCTAAAACTAGATGTTTCACAATCTCAAGTGGAAGGAACATTATTTTCTATATTGACGTCTGATGTAACTGACGTATAATTAAAAATCAAACTTCTGCTGGTTTTTTTTATAAATGTACAGTTTACATGCATCTTTACAGATATACAGTTAACATACATTTTCAGTAATGCACAGTTTATATGCATCTTAATGGATGCACATTTATGTACAGATCTACAGTGTATATGCATCTTACCGGTAAACCTCACTAAATGTAGATAAAGGTTGCTTTTCACAGTACTTACGTAGCTGTGTAGCAAAAAATTGAAAATCAAGGTTAAATAAGTTTCCGTATTTTTTCTAAATTTATGAACCGACAATTCAAGAAAGATGATTGTTATAAATCATGTCCGTACAGAAGCACTGACTAGCTCTTTTCTTTTGTCCGAATTTGCTCTGACGTCTTATTTAAATATGGCACAAAATGTGCACTAGATTATAAAGTTTGGACAGAGCTTTGCAAGGAATAATCAAACAATTCAAAACTGGGAAAACGAGTATGTCCCTGAAATGAAACTGCTAGTAACTAGCGTTAATTGAAGCCATAATTTGTAGCATGGAATTGTATAACATGTATCCGTCTTCTTTTCCTCGAATGTGACAACACCAAATGAGACTTATCACCAAATGAGATTTATTACCGAATGTGTAGTTGCATGGGACTGCAACACGACGGGTGCCACATGTGTAGCAAGATCTGATACCCTTCTAGAACACCGTGGATCTCCTTAGGTTTTTTGTGGGGTTCGTGCTGCTAAGTCTTTAGTTTTCTATGTTGTATTTGTAGACTGTTGTTTTTCTTTTCGTCATTTTTTGTTTACTACCATGGTGTTGTCAGATTGACTATGACTTTGGTATATTCCGCCTATCTTTTACTCGATGAATAACAATTGTTTAATTGTTTTGCTAATAAACTATGATTATGTCACTTGAATATTCTGTAATGATGAGGGATTCTCCAACTACACAGTCGGGTCATACTTCAGACTATATTATTTCAAAATCAAATTTGCTTGACAGTTTTGAATGTAAAAATAGGAGGATTGACTTCTTCACAATTTTTTTATATAGTAACCACAAATCATGCTTAATTGTTGAAATCGTTTAAAAATCAGTGCATGCGTTAATTCAAAATTTACATTAACAAAAAACAAATACCAAGATAAATAAGGTTTTATGTTCAAGGAGTTTGTCTATCTTTGTTTTTCTCCATAAGATATCGGATAATCCTAGAATCACTGTTGACATAGTGTGTTGGTCGATGGATGCTCCCAGAAATGGAATCTGATTTACTTCCGGTCACAGAACGGAAAACATTTGTTTGATTCAACAGACAACGTAAACCAAGGAATGCAAATATCAAAGCTTCTTTAAAAGCAATCGTAACTTCGTCGACCTGTTCTAAAATAAATCCCTGATCTTGCAGTTTACATTGAAGCAATCTGATTAAGTGTTTATTGAAAGCACCACCGCCTGTTACCAGAACCTTTAAGACGTTTTTAGGTTTGAGTTTATTTTCATCATGGAGTGAATCACGTACGTTCTTGCATGCTTCTGTTAATCTGTTGGTAACATGCTCTGTGTAAGTCATCAGTAGATCTGGAATACTATTCTGCGTTGTCTAGAAAATAAATATGAATACTTTATACTATAAAGTTAACAATAGCAATCAATATACTTGACAATTGATCTGTCAAATTAAGTACCTCGACGGTCATTTTAAAAATTTATTAATGATTCCAATACACATTTTCCGGTTAACCGGTTAGCCTGATCGGTTTTCGATATTCGGTCCTTCCAACGGTTGACCAACTGTACCGTTGACAACACTACAAAGTTTATAGTATGTCGCCATTATAAATTGTATGTTTTTTTTTAAACGCAATAAAATACTTTTTATAATAAAAAACACAGAGTTAAATGTAATTTGGTTTTATGGATCTTGTCTCTAAAAAAACTCCTCTTTTTTAGACAGTAATGTTTACCGTGCACAATATCGAGTGACTGTGTGTATTAGGATTTATTTCGCTAAATATGCCCAGTTTTAGACAAATCGGTATTCCCCCCCCCCCCTTTTTTTTTCTCCTTTTAGATACTCTTTATCTTGTTACTATCCCCTTGTTCGTGGTCTTTTATTTCAAAATATCATTGAACCACCATTTATTCTTGTAAGATTTTGAAAAAAAACTGATGTTTATATCTCTTTTTTTATGTGAGCTTTACATTTTTTTCATTTAATATGTAAGGAGTTACAAAGGTTTTTACTCATGCTTGTTGCATTTTGTTAAACTTTGAAATGTAAGAATTTTAACAAAATAGTTTGAGTTATCAGGCTACCCAGGATACCATTCTTATACGGATTTTAAATCTATAATTTATATGAATCATACCGTGATATGTACAAACATAAAAAAATGTATGTCTATTGCATATACCAAACTTACGTTTAGGATAGGTAATACGTCAGCTTCGATCCATTCAGCATCTAGAGACTTTGGCGGAAGTTGTTCGTAAAAATGCAATGCGTCCAATTTACCCAGTATCTCTGTAATTACATTTCCGGTCTCAGCTATTTCGCCGTTTGGATCGTATTCTAATGTCGGATCGTGAATGGCTGCCAGTTTGTTGGACACATAATTACACGGGCAAACATCATACCCTTGTAAACCTTTCAGACCAATATTAGCAATCCCACCAAGATTAATGCATATCTCGTTGTCGCAAAACAAGAACTTTTCTCCATTTGGAACCAGAGGTGCACCTTGTCCCCCAAGAGCTACATCTTTGTTTCGGAAGTTGCATACAAAAGGTTGTTTGAAGTAAGCGGCTGACGTTTCTCCGTCTCCAAGCTGGAACGTGTATCCCAGGTTGGGTTGATGAAAAATTGTATGTCCGTGCGATGCAACACAGTCAAGATTTTTTATATCTCCATGTTCAACAAAGTCTTTTACAGTTTTACCCATAAAATGTCCATACTCTAAATGCAGTTTTATCAAATCTTCACCCCTAAGTTCCTTCGCTGATCGTAGTTTTGATTTCCAGTCACTATCATATGAGACCGTCGACGCTTTCAGTATCCGGTATTGCCATTTATCAGTTTCGATATCGCCTGTAAATTCAGCATAACATAAGTCTATTCCGTCCAGAGATGAACCTGACATACAACCAACTGTATAAAATGAAACCATATCTCACCCTAGTAAAGATAGATCAATGTTTACCTTTGTAGTTCACAAAATGTTCAACATTTTATTATCTACGTATACGTGTGTTAAACAAAGTTATCAGTATTTTCTTCATTCGGAGAGGGTATATCCATTAAACGTATTTTACTGCAGTATAACGGGGAAAAAACACGAAAAAGTCAACTTCATGGACAATTGAGCTTAAAATAAAAAGTTTCATAATTCTTGGTACATATCGGAGAAATGGCTACATTTACATACTTTAATAGTGTAGTACGCGTTTTACAATTTAACAATAACCATGTAAACACCATAGTTTTACTATTGACTCTAGGCAGAAATATATATTAATGTCTCAACAGAGATATGCCCAAAATGAATGTTTGTTATATTTGTATTACTAGTATTTAGTTCTTCTTTGCTGGCTTATAGTCTTACTGTATGTTTTCGTCACATGAAGAGCATTTCATTATTTTGCGAATCTTCATTTGCAGTTGCAATTTTAATTTTTTTTTGACAACTTTATTTTGGTGGTGCAACACTTGACTAGACACAGTGTTGTATCGAACGAAAATGTTGTATAGAGTTGCAGTGTTATATAGAATTGCAGTGTTGTATAGGATTGTAATCTTGTATCGAATTGCTGTGTTGTATAGAATTGCAGTGTTGTATGGAATTGCAGAGTTGTATGAATATTGCAGTGTTGTATAGAATTGCAATGCTGTATAGAACTGCAAAGTTGTATCGAATTGAAGAGTTGTATAGGATTGTAATGTTGTATCGAATTGCAGTGTTGTATAGAATTGCAGTGTTGTATAGAATTACAATGTTGTATAGAATTGCAGTGTTGTATAGAATTGCAATGTTGTATAGAATTGCAGTGTTGTATCAAATTGCAATGTTGTATAGAATTGCAGTGTTGTATAGAATTGCAGTGTTGTATAGAATTGCAATGTTGTATAGAATGTAGAGTTGTATAGAATTGCAGTGTTATATAGAATTGCAATGTTATATAGAATTTCAATGTTGTATAGAATTGCAATGTTGTATAGAATTGCAATGTTGTATAGAATTGCAGAGTTTATAGAATTGCAATGTTGTATAGAATTGCAAAGTTGTATGAATATTGCAGTGTTGTATAGAATTGCAATGTTTTATAGAATTGCAGAGTTGTATAGAATGGCAGTGTTGTATAGAATTGCAATGTTGTATAGAATTGCAATGTTGTATAGAATTGCAATGTTGTATAGAATTTCAATGTTGTATAGAATTGCAATGTTGTATAGAATTGCAGAGATGATAGAATTGCAATGTTGTATAGAATTGCAAAGTTGTATGAATATTGCAGTGTTGTATAGAATTGCAGTGTTGTATAGAATTGCAATGTTGTATAGAATTGCAATGTTGTATATAATTACAATGTTGTATAGAATTGCAGAGTTGTATAGAATTGCAATGTTGTATAGAATTGCAATGTTGTATAGAATTGCAGTGTTGTATGGAATTGCAGAGTTGTATGAATATTGCAGTGTTGTATAGAATTGCAATGCTGTATAGAACTGCAATGTTGTACCGAATTGTAGAGTTGTATAGGATTGTAATGTTGTATCGAATTGCAGTGTTGTATAGAATTGCAGTGTTGTATATAATTGCAGTGTTGTATATAATTGCAATCTTGTATCGAATTGCAGTGTTACGTAATTAAGATTTTTACAGGGAAGGCTATAAGAAAGAGTTTAGATGGTGCAAATTCATTTGAAATGAAGTTAAAATAGGAATTAACTGTTTTATTTTTATTTGTTCTTTTTTTATTTTACAAAATGTAGAATAAAGCTTTGCATGTGGTTGGAAATTCAGTTTGAATAGTTTTCGTCCTATATAACTCTTTTTAACACGCAAGAATTAATTGTATAATTACATCCCAACACGAGTACTTCAAGTCCTTTTGAAGTGAAAGTGAAAATATGGGCTTCCTGCGAGTAAGTAGTAACGCTATCATTATTATCATTATTCCCTCAGTTTATTGCTAATTTGCATGTAATATTATATATAGCACTAGACTCAAAAGAAATTCAATACTTATCGACAAGACTAACAGAACAGTGAACACAAACATTAGCCGTCAGCTTATAAGTTATACAATTATTACAGTTTGATCTAATCTTTTAATTACCAAGAGACATTTTGATTATTTTTGTTTTAAGCAATGAAAAGATACGAATGTAGAGGTGTATAACTCCATTGGAAAATCCTATATACATGATAGTAATAAAATTGATATTTTAGAAGTGTTAATGCTAATGTGTTACTATAAAGCGATTTAAAAAGCGTTCAAGTACCTCTTTAACACATTGAAGTTTGTTTTAAATTACAGGTAAACTACATGTATACATGTAACAGCCACTATGTTCCGTCAGTTACTTTGTTCCGGCGGAACTTTTCAACCAGTTATTTCGTTCCGATGGAACTTTCCAACTAGTTGTTTTATTCCGAGTGCAGTCGAAAAGTTCCGGAAAAAAGAAAAAAGTAGCTAGTTGAAAAGTCCCGGAACAATGTAGCTAGTTGAATAGTTCTGGCGGAACAGAACAACTAGTTACATCGTTCCGAATATACCATATTTCGTCCTTTTTGTAGAAAGAGGGAGAAGAATGAGTATCAGTATATATAAGAGCAAATCATTAATTTACAAGAATACCCAACGCACTGAAAGAGTTTCTTTGGGGACAAATATGCTAAATTTAAGTTGTATTTCATAGCTCACATAAAACGGAATAAGTTGCATTATCATGCAAATTTTGTATTCATAGTACCCTTAAGAGAGGGAAGAATACCCCCCTCCTCATGTGGTTCTTTGCATCAATTCTCCAAATGGAACTTTGTGACTGGTTGATAAGTTCCGTTGGAACTTTTGGGCTAGTTTGTTAGTTCCGGTTTTGACTTATTTGCCAAAAAGGAACTTTCTAACTAGTTGATATGTTCCGTTGGAACTTTTCAACTAGTCACTTTGTTCCGGTGGAACTTTTAAACCAGAGGAAGAACAAAGTAACTAGTTAATAAGTTCCTCCGGAACTTTTCGGCTAGTTAGTTCTTTCCGCCCGGAACTTTCCAACGTCGGAACAAAAGAGCATTTACATATGTAGTCATACTATAAGGGAGACAACCACAATTTTACCTGGCTTGACCTAGTAGTCTAAACATATAAATAAACAACAGGTATGTAAACATTTCTGTATTGTGTTTTCAGTGTTTGTTAAGGTTTTATTACTGAGTCCAAATGCAAATGAATTTATAAACACAAGGTTGTACATATGCTAATAAAATTGAGAATGGCAATGGGAACAACAACCCGACCAAAGAGCAGAAAACAGCCGAAGGCCAATACTGATGGGTCTTCAACACAGTGAGAAAATCCCGTACCCGGAGGCGGGATTCGACGTCACACTAAACTACAAAACATATAAATGAATTAAAATAAAAAAAACATACAGGACTATCAAAGGCCAGAGGCTCCTGACTTGGGACAGGCGCAAAAATGTGACGGGGTTAAACGTGTTTTGTGAGCTCTCAACCGTCCCCCTATACCTCTAGCTATTAGCCCAATGTAGAATAAACAAACACACAGCAATGCGCACAGTAAAACTCAGATTAAGAGAAGTCCGAGTCCGATGTCAGAATAGGTAACAAAAGAAACTAAGCAAAATGACAATCTATACTATTAAATGAGAAGACTTCATTTTGTGTGTCGCTTCTCTTCCTTCCACAATAAATTAATCATCAAGCCTTTGTGTCATATAGGTACTATGCATAGTCGCATTTGTCATCCTCGCTTATGATTATTCCGTTTGTGTTATTTTGGGAATAAAACGAAAATAAAGGCGTCCGGATATTGTTTCCGTCATCGGACGGACTTTTAAGTCATAGACAAGACTTTCGTTTCCTTTAGGACTGTTTAAAATTACGACCTCAAATTACACATAATTTTCAAAGATACTTTGGGAACAGGACAATTACTTTCGCTTTTTCTGTATACTATGAACATACATATACTATAAATAAAATGTATTTTCTATTTACTAATTACTATCAATTCCAAGGTTACTGCGGCCATATATCATAGGCGGATCCAGGGGAGGGGGTAGGGGCGCCCCTCCCCTTTTTCGTGGGAAAAATTTAGTAGATTATATAGGGAATCACTAAATCATGACTGTAGCGGACCCCCTCTTATGGCAGTCAGTGCCGCCCCCTTTATAAAAAGTTCTGGATCCGCCACTGTATATTATATAGAGATTATAGTATATGTCTGTTCATAGTACATGTAGTATACAGTTAAAAAACGCGAAAATAATTGAAATTAATAGAAAACAAAAAAATAACGGATTTTGAGAAAAGGGGGAGGACTAAACAAATTGTCCTGTCCCCAAGTACCTATGACTTTTGATACCTTTCCTGAAATTCTTCAGTCATAAAATCTTTTACAAAAATTCATCCTACAACAGTTTACATACTTTCAACCACGCTCTTAATGCCTGCGATTTCGCGGGTGTGTTCTAGTGATACATAAATTAACAAAGGACTACTTGCAGTTACTGACATGCCAGCTCCAGACCTCAATTAAACTGATTGAAAGATTATGTCTTCATCATATGAAAATCAAGCACAATCCCTCCAGTTAGGGGTTTTGTATCATACCATCATAAAATATATGAGAACATAACCCATATCATGCCAACAACTGGTTTTAGAATAAATGTGTATTTCCGATGCAAAGACCCTATGAGTGAATCAATATAAATACCAAAATATGCCATCTTTAATGACCTGATAACGGTATTGTAGCTATATCCCTTCTGAATAAGTCTGTTTAAAGGTTTGGTTAGCTTTTGATGTGAATGTTTACATTTTTGTGCTTTGTATAGAATATTACCATAAAAGATTGGATGTGAAATACCTGAACGTATAAGATGTCTGTATGTTGATACACATATCATGTAAATGCGATAAACGGTAAAATTGTTAATTGAAAATGCTGTCAACAACTTCAACTGCTGGTCAAATATGCCACCGGTCAAAATATATATATGAAGAATGTCACGAAGTATCTGAAACGTGTATATGAGATGTTCAGAAGGAATCTTAAGAATTGGGTGTAATTTCACCAGATATATACTGTCCGGATTCACTGCACAACGTACTAAACAGATGGAACACATGGATCAGAATGGTCAGTCCCGATTTGGTACAGTGCAGTATGCATTTGAACAATTTTTATGCAGTATGCATTTGCATAATTTTTATATCTGAATTTTGCAAAGTCCCTTAATGTTTTGGTTCTACCTGAAAAGTTAAGCTACAATTCCGAGAAGACCCACTTGAGAAGACTAAAATGAGACGCTTGTTGTTATTTTTGAATTTTTATAAACGCAACTGATGAATGGGTATCGGCAATGTAACAGTATCACATGACGTTTAGAGTTTAGTTCTTTTCCATGTAAAAATACAATGCAGGAGTCAACTATGGTCTGCTTAAAAAAACACATTTTTGCAAATTGGTGTCATCTGATCTTTAACCTATCACATTCACCATGCTTTTTTAGCACAAACTTAAAGATTTTTTTATAGAAACTAAGTTGTCTAAATAGACTAAGTTATGTCTTAGCTTATTTTTTAGAAGGGGACACGGGACAACTTTTTTTTTAATATAGAACTCCGATAACATTGTGGATAATACTTGAATGGTTATAAACATTTATGTCCCGGGACGTAAAAAATAGTCTATTATGCCTCTTTCATGAAATATATTTACTCTGTAGTGAATTGTCTTTTACGAAACTAACATTGGATATAACAGCACAACTTTTAAACTCTTGTTTTTCTTCCAGGGTAAGACGGTTTAAAGCACAAAGACGACCAACATGGCATCAGCTGATGTTATTTCTGATATTATTTCATTCCTACGAACATGTGGTGTTTGTAAACGAGAGTGTTGTGATCCCCGGACTCTTGAATGTATGCACAGTTTGTGTTTTGATTGTTTGAATGGGCTTATCAACCAGAACTTAAACCACGGGGAAATATTTTGTCCGACGTGTAAATGCAAGATTATGTCGTCAGCTTCTTCTCTTAATAATTCGGTTTTAGAAAATTTAGGAGCAGCTTCTGTGTTTACTGATGAAAGAATTTCTACTTTTCAAAAAGCTGGGACGGTAGCCTGTAGGAAACATCCGAATTATTTGTGCGAGTATTTTTACACAGATAGTTTTGATCTTGCATGCGAAATCTGCAAAACGAACAGACCGTTTTGTCAAAAGCTTACCAAAGAGGCAATGACAGAAGTTCTGAATAAGCAACAAACAAGAGTTAAAGAATCATTGTCAACCACAAATCGAGACTTGACTGAAATTTGTGAATCTTTAAAATCCCGCGAACGTCAGAAGTTGTCAAAGAAAGACGAAACTGTATTAGGCATCATGAAGTATTTTGCAGATTTAAAAATGCAGCTATTAGATTATTTAGCGAAACATGAAAAAGATGTCTTAGACAAACTTAAAATCTTCAATGATACTGAAATGGCAACTATCACACAATACACGAAACTTAGTTTTTCGTTGCTGGAAAGCCTGGGTCCATGTTTTGCATCTGTGAACAGTTTCTTTAAAGATGCCGATAAATTGAATTCCTTTGCTAGTTACTTGAACCTTGATGTTTTGATATCGACCTTGGAAGATTTTACTACTAAAGCTACAACAATTAAGCAATATGTTCTGGATGAAAATGAAATTCGTTTTGTTATAAACACGGAATTCGAAGATATGTTGACAGAGGGGGATCTTATAAATGTTGAGCTGATTAATTCTAGTACAAGATCGTCTGGCACGGTGATACCCAGTGATAGCAATATATCGCAAAGATACCACACCAGAATCGACAACCATTCCGTAACCAATGAAAATACTGGATCAACTGATATTACACCAACAGCCACTAATGTTGCTATTAGGAATGAACCATCAACAGGAATAGTGATAAGAGTGTCACCTCCTGATACAAACAGTGATTACCAACCGGAAGACGAACCACCACCGCCATACCCAGAATTGACCAAAAGTAGTAGCACGGCATATTCAAACAGTCAAAATACTTCACCAGAAACTCAGAATCAATATCGTTTTCCACAACCAAACTCCAACGATTCTATACGAAATACTAGTAATTCACCGGTGTCTCAGGAACACTTTACCTTTCCACAACCAAACTCCAATGATTTCGGAAGAAATAACTCTCCAGGATTGCAGGAACAATTTCCGTATCAACATGTACCATCTGCTTCGAACTTCGACGACTTTTTCACAACACCATTAGTACCCAGAGGTTTAACGCACGGTGTATCCTCAGTATCAATAACACCACCAGGAACGCCAGGTGATGACAACAGGTTAAGGTTTTATCCTCTTACTAAATTTACTGTAGGATTAAGGGGAAAAGACAGAGAGAATCCTATTTTAGGAGATTTATGCTGGATAGATAAAAGGGCTTTGATTGCAATAGATAAAAGAAACAAAACAGCCAAAGTTTTTAATACGAGAGGATCTTGTATGAATGCTATTAACTTGAATTGCGATCCATATGGATGTACAGTTTTCAGACTGCCACGACAGTCGTGTGTATATATGGCAGTAACTTTTCCCAAAAAGAGAAACCTTTCTATATACACAATCGACCCAATGACTAATTACCAAATCAGTGTTGAAAGTACTAAATTAACCAACAAAGGCTACACATGTTTATCGTTTAATGAGAATAAAATGCAGTTTGTTTGTGGTACTACTAACCCGTTTTCCTTGCCCGCAGTAGACATTCTCGATCATCAAGGAAACTTTTTACGAACATTTAATGGGTCAAACGCTGTTCGATTAGGTTACCCAAGATCTGTTGGAGTAAACAAACAGGGGATAATAGGTATATCTGATTACAAAACGTCGCGTGTAATTTTCATGACCATGGAAGGAGCTCATGAAAGCGTCTTTGATGGTTCGATTAGTAGGAATTTAGGGGATCCACAAGGAATAGGATTATATAAAAACTTATTTGTTGTAGCTGACACAAGAAAGAATCACATTTACTTTGTTGACTCCTCTTCATTTGTATACGATGAAGTAAGGCAGAATTCGTTACTGGAAAAGACTCCACGATTTATCGACTTTTCGCCTTCTTCCTGTCCTAAAATGGCAGTTGGTCACGGGAATGGCTACATTTCACTGTACGAAGTCTATGATGCTTCGAACCCAGACATGGGAAGTACTGTGTAAATACAACTTATCTTGAAATTGCATTAATGTCATTAGAAGTAAAAACTTTGTACATGTAGTACCCTTCTTATTTTTTAAAAGAAAATGAACATGCTACCAATATCTATATATATAATAATAAATACATAACCATATTCTGTTTTTGTTCAGACATTTTTACAGAAGAAAGGTTTTGTGTCTTAGACGAGTTTTTTTTAGATTATGTAATGGCCAAATGAGTATAGAAAAAGCTGCAAAATTGAAGCTGCATATAAAAAAGACATTCTTTTCGTTTTATATTGTTTAATTCATAAATCAGGCCGTTAGTTTTCTCGTTTGAATTGTTTTATATTTGTCATTTTGGGATCTTTTACAGCTTACTATGCGGTATGGGTTTTGCTAATTGTTGAATGCCGTACGGTGACCTATATAGTTGCTATGCCCCCGCCGTAGCGGATGGAGCATTACGTTTTACCCTTGACCGTCTGTACGTCCGTCCGTCCGTACGTACGTCCCAAAATTGGTTTCCGTTCTCTAGCTTTAGTTTGTCTCAACCAAATGTTATGACTCTTATACACAATGTTTATTACCACAACACACATATCAAGTTTGAATTTTGGTTGCGTATCTTTTACCGTTCTAGAGTTATGCCCCTTTACAAATGGAAAAAATGCTGAATTTTTTGTTTCCGTTCTCTTACTTTAGTTTGCCTCAACCAAATGTTATGAATCTTAAATACAATGCTTATTACCACAAAACACAGATCAAGTTTGAATTTTGGTGGCGCCACTTTTACCGTTTTAGAGTTATGCCCCTTTACAAATGGTAAAAATGCTGAATTTTTCGTTTCCGTTGTCTAACTTTAGTTTGCCTAAACCAAATGACATAACACTTATGCACAATGCTTATTACCACAAAAACAGATCAAGTTTGAATTTTGGTGGCGCCACTTTTACCGTTCTAGAGTTATGCCCCTTTACAAATGGAAAAAATGCTGAATTTTTTGTTTTGGTTCTCTAACTTAAGTTTGCCTCAACCAAATATTATGAAACTTATACACAATGTTTATTACCACAAAACTCAGATCAAGTACACATTTGGGTAGCGTCACTTTTACCGTTCTTGAGTTATGTCCCTTTATAACGTAATATGCAACCGGGGGCATCATCTGTGTCCAATGGACACATTCCCCATTTATTAACCTCTACGTCAGTTGGTCTCTGGTGGAGAGTTGTCTCTAATCAATCGTACAACATATGCTTATTATTTTTATATTTATATTTGTTTCGAGATTGTTATGCACTGTAATTGGTTTTTTTTTTATAATTAATCGACATCACACACGGTCTTAAATATTTTAAAAGAGGTTGTCTTTGTTTATGCATAATGTGTTGGTTGGTTGTTTTGTTTGTTATTTGTTGGTTGTACCTTTTAGAATTTAAGATTGCTGACATCTTTTTGTGTCTGTATTTTGGGTGATTTAGAGATTGTTTCTTAGTTTAGTCACTATATATCTATGTAACTCGGGACTGCTATATAGATAATGTAAAAACATTGTATCTTGTATAATTGAATATATATTATTGAAACAAAAATTAACTTCTACTAAAACTATGACTTCTACAAGTCATATGTATAATTATGAAAATTGCGGCCGACTATGCCTATAATTGCTTGCATCGACTTCATTTGAACTTTGGTGGATATTTGTCTCATTGGCAATCATACTACATCTCCTTATTTTTATAAGTTATTTTTGTATTCACATCAAACTGAACAGCTTTCAAATATATACAGTAACTTTTCAGCTCGTTGAATTCTGAATATTTGCGACTTGAAGCCAAAATTCTGATCTACATTAATTTTCATATGTAACATGACCACCGTTGAAGATTCGGTTTTAATATTCAGATCAAAGGTCTGGCAGATAATACGCAATATTCATAAGTCAATTACATTGTAGTAGTACAAGATACCTAATCAGAAACAACAAGTTGTAAGGAGCACGTATATAAGATTAAGGTTAAGATTGGTTATTATATAAGCATCACGTCCAGTGTCAACTATTTCATGAATATATAAGACGAGAAAAAGATAAACAATTAAACCTGAAGGTAAGGCTCTATTTTTCTTTCTTGATTCCCTTACACAAAAGGGGTTGGAAATGCACATTTCATTGGGGAAGTGCTTCCCAACTTTTTTCAAGTTAGACTTGGTTATTTTTTAACCATTAATTAAACTGAAGGATTTATTTATGCCTATGCAATGATAGTGACAGTATTGTTTTTGAAAACCAAATACGTTATGACCTGGATGACCTGAATGACCGGCGATAAATTTTTACTGATACATGCTATATGTTGAATTGGGTTCAACAGGACCATATAATTTGGCCACTGATGACCCAGATATTCCTCGATAGTCAACCAAGTTATTTGGGCGACTATTAAAGTTATTTTAAAGCGCCCAATACAAATGTACTAAAATTCTTAAACATACAATCACAGCTCACAATTTACGGTAATACATTATTTCATTATATAAAGTAACAAGGGCACATATATTAGAATAAACAGGTTTTATACTTTGTACCTTGTTATCTACACACGGTATACCAATAATTACATTAAACATAAATATTCGGTCTTGGGATCATAGAGCACATTTATGAGTAAGTAATTTTAACGTTTAGATGATATCAATTTCAACGGAACTACCAATAGTTTCGTATTTTTATTTTCAAGGGGGTATAAAGGCTATCACTTTTCTTTAATTTATGAAGTCCTTATCATTCTGCACAAAGTTCATCTATCTGGAATTTGCTAATTTACAGAACGCGGCGAATGCAAATATATTTCGAGGACAGTATGTAATTGCACGTTAACTTAGCTAGCAATTTCATCTGGCAACGTTTATCTTAGACAAGTTTTGTTCTGTTTAGGTCCCTTTAGTTTTCATCTCTAAAACGTCAGTTTAATTTTTAGCTTCCCAAACTTCTGGTCTTGGGCGTGCTCATGGAAATATGCATCTTAGGTTAATATTTTTTACAATCAGAAATCACTAAGATATCATTTTAAAAGAACACTGAATGAGTTTATGAAAGATTATGAGCATGGCTTAATAAAAATTATCTACTTTATATCAGAAACAAGCTATTTATCGTTTGAAAATATGATTGATTATTTGCCTAACTTCTGGTTCAAATATTTCATGCAATTAAGATCCAGGCAAAAATTTCCATTCTGTGTTTATTTTGCAGATTTATCCTTATTTACTATATAGTTCCACAAATTTAATTTTGAATCCATACTGAATCATAGAAAAATGGGTTTGAATCGACCTCCGAACGACTCAAGATTCTGTAATGAGGAGTACTTATATAAATGGCATCTATGCTTAGATTCATAACCGTAAAAGTCGGAAATAAAAGCTAATCTATATACATTTTTAGAATGATTTGACAATAATCCATGTTACTATTCATTGGCCCCATTTTGTAAGAAATAAATACCTCGGACATACTTTAATTGTTCATTTTCAAAAGTTGACTTTTCGTTGTCGTCGCATGCGACGTTTCCGTAGATTTAGCTTTTTGCAATGGATACTTCGTCTGTTGATATATAATGTGACTGTTTTGTGCATAATTAAATATATTTAGCTATGCTGAAAGACGTGCTTAATGGCAAATTATAGAAATACAAATTATTTAGTCTCTATGAAAACTTGTAAGTTAGATTTTCGCTGCCTTTTTTGTTTGCAAAATAGGTGCAAATTGGGTACTCGGTGCAATTTGGATATAGGGACGTTAATTTACATTTGAGCCCCACGGTAAAGCCACATTTTCATTTTCTTTTCTCAATATACTTTGCCAAATATAATCAAGCTATCCAGGAATGATGTTTACAAGGTCCTCTACAAATGATCATAACTTCAGTCTGATCGGATGAAAAGTTGGCCACTAGAGACAATCCTTCAAGTTAAAAAAAATATTCCCCTCTAAAACTACCAGACAAAATGTTTTGAAATTTTAGTGGATTTAAAATGATTTAAAGACCGTGTACACATTCCTCATTTAATTTTAATCGGTGGAAAACATTGCGGTCATGCTTGGTGGTACATGGTTATCATTGAAACCCTGTGGAAAAGTAAAATGTTCATCTTTTCTGCAATTCTATGAATGGAGAATTTAAACCAGCTTTCAAATGATCCTCTGTTGGTTCCGATTGGACGAAAAATAGAACCACCAAATCAAATCAAATCAAATCATTTTATTGGTGTAAAATCCAAATATTGGGTTGTTACCAAGACAAACATGACAATATTTACAAACATACAATATTTGAATTTAAGCAACATTCATACTATATAAGTATCTCATATATTCTGCGACCGCCAGACGCAATCTTAAATTCTGATAGGTCAAATTTCAAAATTCTTTTATTGTGAAACTTTACGGATTGATGATTGGAAGACCCCCTACATATCAACCACAATTAATATTGATCGGCTGGCAAACATGGCGACATTAGTTTCAAACATTTCCCCATGAAAACTGAAATTAGATATTTTTGTTTGCTCTCTGAAGCTGCTTTGCCAATTTAACCTCACTTGGCAGATATGAAATATGGAAGGTCCTCTATAAATGATACTAATTTGGTTCTAATCGATAAAAAAACAAGACTACCATGAAATCTCTGTTTTTGCAAAATACTCAAAATTCGTGTAAAAAGAAAAGTAACTCCGAACTCCAAGGAAAATTCAAAACGGAAGGTCCTTTATCAAGTGGCAAAATCAAAAGCTCAAACACATCAAACGAATGGAAAACAACTGCCATATTCCTGACTTGGTACAGTCATTTCCTTATGTAAAAAAATGGTGGATTAAACCTGGTTTTAAAGCTAGAAAAACCTCTCACTTGTATGACAGTCGCATAGCATTCCATTATATTGACAACAACGAGTGAGCAAAACAAACAGATATAATAGGTTAAAATGTCAAAAATTGAGGTACAGCAGTCAACATTGTATTATAATCTTAATCACTATAAAAACAAATAACTATTTCAACAAAGAAAAACAAAATAGAATATAGACAAAGTACATTAGAAAAAATGAAAGACAAGAATACAAAAAATGACCATAGCACAATAACACAATGGCGGGATGTATAAATACCGAGCCACGCCAAAAGTATATTACCAAAAATGGACTAAACATTAAAGGTTAAAATATACAAAGACAAATAAAAAGAACACTATAACACGTAATTAAGATGATGAATAACGTTAGCACCTACAATCTATACTCCGAGACCATCATGTATAATTTGTGAAGTCGATACAGAATATTTATCAACAAGGTCTTGGTATCTTCCGATGAACTTTTTTTTAGAAAAAGGAAGAGGCGTTCTTTGACATAACCCTGGTTCATCAACTTTCTGCTCAGACAATGGTGACGCAGGCACTTCATTCTAAAAATGTGCGCACGATCAACGCTTTTACACCCCTATAAAGTTATAATAAGAAGCATTCAATTCTTATAATTACATTACATGCTACAACCATACAATTAAGAGTTATATGAAGCTTTTCGTTTGTTTTACTATATATGCATTGTTTTAACATTGTCACGGATAGCACGTGCAGTCATGGCTGTTGTATTTTATACGGAAATAGAATTTGACACTGGAGTGCCTCGCGATAAAATTATAAAAAGCACTATTCAATTCTTATAATTAGTTTTTATACAACAACCATGTTATTAATAGTTATATCAATCTTTTCGTTTGTTTTCTATGCATTGTATCAACATTGTCACGGATAGCACGTGCAGTCATAGTTGTTGTATTTTATACGGAAATAAAAAATATGATATTGGAGTGCCTCGTGATAGTTGTCAGCCAATCAAAATTACGGATTTTAATGAAACATACATGTAATGTAATTTATAGACACGAATAAAGCATGCGACACAAAAATCATACAAAACACAAACAAAACACATTAAAAAGCACATTTGATATTCAAAGTACATATTTTAAAAAGCATGTAAAACACATTAAGTAGCAGATCAAAAGCAAACAGAAATTTTAAGCATGCAAACATCATTCAAAGCAAATAAACATGACTATGCATGAAAATATCACACATATAAAAGCAGAGAGCATCACATATTTATATAATGTTTAATAATGAAATATTTAATATTATACCTTCAGGCTAACTGAATTACTAGTACTTTTAAAATAGTGACGTGATACCCTATAGGAAATTGTCAAGTCACATAGAGACAATGTGGTGATATGGATGAGCAAAGGCAAGATAAACAAAGGGTAAATGACGAAAGTGAAGAAACTGGAATGATTGACGGTAACATAAAGAATATTCCGGATTCTTTCAAGGGGAGGTTATCAACAGACAAAGAATTCAAACTACGTTTTTTAATATGGATATTCTTATGCTGGGCATTTATTGTACTGGTAAATACAAAAGTTATGTTATATGGACAAGGTCTTTTTGATGTTTCTGTCTACCATGAGAAAACAGATGAGAAAATATCAACTGTTTAAATGAAATTTCAAGTTAAAATAACTCATTATTATCTGCTCAACGACTAAAGTTTATGACATGACGATGTAATGTTTAATTTTACAAAAACATATATGCTAGATGACCATGTTTGTCAAATATTCTAATGATGACATATTTGCGACTTAAAAACAACAACTTCGGCGACCACGCTATATTACATGTATCAGTAATCATTTATCAGTAAACACAAATTTTGAAATGATTCAAGTCTTATTTTGCATTTGTATTCCTCTTTCTTTGTCCGTATTTTTTAAAAATAGCTCTAGAATAGAAACAAGTATGTTTTCTCCCATTTGTTTTATAAAAATAAGGAGATGAGGTATGATTGCGAATGATACAACTATCCACCAAAGTTCAAATAAAGTTGATGTAAGCAATTATAGGCAACCGCACGGCCTTCAACATTGAGAAAAATCCATACCGTATAGTCGGCTATAAAAAGCCCCGACATGAAAAATATGAAACAATTCAATTGAGAAACTTAACGGCCTAATTTATAATAACAAATCAATGAACGAAAAAGAAATATGACAGACATGAACCAACGACAACCACTGAATTACAGGCTCCTGACTTGTTTATTTAAATGTGTATATCTATATTGGATCTACATGTATCATAATACAAAAAGTTACAGTTTTCTTTAAGTACATCGATTATACTTCATGGAAAGATACTATATATTTCATTATGTTCCCTGTTATTGTTGTATTATATATTTTCATTAAGTTAGTTATCTACCTTCAAGACAGGCGAGGCACGAATGTGGCCGCGATATGATAGAATTATTAAGTTTCATAAAATTTAACGAACTCTACTCTTCCATCCTTACTACTTTTTCAATTCCAAACAATTGGAACGGGTTGTCACTCTTAATTTCAGACATAGTAGATAAAGGGGAAAGTTTAAAGCACATCTGATAAATAAATAATATATATATTGTAAAGAATTGTACTATGGAGTTTCAATATTTTTTCATTATCATTGCCTCGCTTAAGATCAGATAAAAGTTTAAAAATCATGTTTGAAAATTAACTTTTTGCATTAAGGACAATTTGAGTGGGACAAAAGCAGTTTGAATTATGAAATACAACAGTATCAAAGTACAGAAACTCGAAAATGATTTCGTACCACAGTTAATATCATTACTACAACCGGAGTAACTAAAGTGTTTATAGGATAATAATTACATTACATGTATGTTTCATTAGAATCCATAATTTTGATTGGCTGACAACTATCACGAGGCACTCCATTATCATATTTTTTATTTCTGTATAACATACAACAGCTATCTATGACTGCACGAGCAATCCATGACAATGTTAAGACAATGCATAGAAAACAAACGAAAAGATTGATATAACTATTAATAACATGGTTGTTGTATAAAAAGTAATTATAAGAATTGAATACTGCTTTTTATAATTTTATCGGGTTGTAAAAGCGTTTATCGTGCTCACTTTATTATATGGAGCGCTTCCCCAAATTTTAAAGCTCCATATAAGATGAAGTTTGGACATGGGCATAGGTGTACTATATTTATTGATGATCTGTTTGTATTGACTGTCAGTGACATCTGTTACAGTGAATAAATGCGTATATAAAATAATAACAGGAATCAATGAACTTTTGACCCTTCGATCTTATGCCAAGTGGATCAATTTTTCAATCAAGATTTGACAAAAATGTTAAAGAATGGACCAAAAAACGATGTTTCATTGTAAGACTTCAGAGGAAGAAGAAGTAAAAAACGGCATCAACAATGAGAACCGTTATGGAAGTTGTGGAATAACTAATATTTCATTTCTAGCTGACATAGATGTCTTTCGTAAAGATTCTGATACATCCAATGCACCAAATGTCATTAAAACAAATGTTGAACCGTTCTGGGAGCAATTGTCAAAGGATCCTATATTTAGACGGAAATGTATTGTGTTTGTTACGTTGTGTTTTGGAATGGCGACGGTGGTAAGTAGATTGCATTATTTCCGCTAACCTTATGTAGTGACCACAAGTAGAAGAAGACACTATATGGAATCAAGAATAAAAATGAGAACGGCAATACCAAAAAAAATTATTCTGTCTTTATCATTCTGCCATGGTAATATTGGGCTTCAATTTAAATGAAGTTCAAGTTTTGTTGTATTTTATTCCATTCAATTTATACCTACAACATTTAATATTCGATAAAATACTCCCTCAACTTTGTTTTTATTAATTAGGGATGGGTTATGGGCCAGCTTGGACCTTCCTTATTGGATCTTCAGGAAATAACGGACAGTACTTTAGAAGAAGCTTCTTTGTTTGTAACAGCAACTTTCATTGGTTATCTATGTGGTGCATTGATAAGTGGTGGAATATTCGAACGAATGAATGCATTTTTGATCATTTTAATAAGCCTTTTACTAATGGCATCTACAACAGCTGCAATACCTTTTTGTGTAATGTATGAAGTAATGGTATTAATGCACGTTTTTAAAGGAATAGGAGCTGGTTTATTGGATGCAGGTTTGTATTATAATCATCATATACAGAAAAAAAAATTAATACAACAAATCATTTAACAACTGTTAAGGAATAGTTTAATGAATAAATGGTAACGCAAAAAAATATAAAAAAACATATCACGACTCTTAACAATTTATTTATTTTCACGTGCTCCACATGCTCTGTGTTGATTGTTTATCAATGTCACGATCTGGTAATCTTCGGCAACACACTCGAAAGTTAATAAGCTTGCGATCAACAGCACTGAATGCAATATAATGTGTCGTTAATACGTTATATGTTCGTTAAAAACGACCATTACAGGACTTAGTTTAGTATATATGCATGTACTGGTTAAATAATTTCGATAACATTAAAATTACAAGAAACTCGTTTCATATGACTCTAAATTTTAATTTCATCTATCAATGTTATTTTTTAATAGTAAGCAGAGAGGATAGACTAAAGTATATAAAACTCGTGGTGCATATGTTAATTATACATTTTATATGTATTTGCATCTTCTAGACAATTTGAAGAAAAGTTTCATATTTTACATAGGGTAAAACTTTATTTATCAGCGTTTGTCACTAGGTTATAAATGTAGAAGAAAAACAGTGTAAACATAACATAGCATAGAAAGAAAACAAGCGTGTCTCATCTAGGAATCAAAATAAAAAGATGAATTTCTTTTCACGAGGGCACCAATAATGTCCTAGCTTTTGGCTTATCTTCTGAGATTAAAAAAAGTCTATAAAATATTCTGTAAAAATTCATGTAAACGTACGGGAAAGTGTATCATGTCTGCATTATTGTTATTATATAAATACTGGTTAACTTTCAGCTGGAAATTCTGTGTTTATTCTGAAGTTCCGAGAAGATAAATCTGCCCGATCGTATATGCAAACTCTACATTTCACTTTTGCAGTAGGTGGGATTCTATCACCAATTACTACCGCCCCATTTCTTCTTCCGACGCCATTATCTGAAAACAATGTAACACAGTGGCCATCAGCAACTAAATCATATGAATCAACGTTTTCCAATGCTGGAATGTCTGGTATATTTACAACAAACAGTAACGGACTAAATTTTACTACTTCGACTGTTGGCGTTAAAAATGCTAACCATTACAAATCAGATATTGGAGAAGGACGAGAGTCAATTCTTTACCAAGCTTACCTGATATCAACAGGCTTGTGTCTGTTAGCAGCAATTCCCTTTTTATGTTTATGTTGGCAAAGCAGATCAGAATCTCGTACGAATATCAAGAACTCGGATGGAAAGCAAAATAGACACAGAAAACTACCTCTACCATTTAAATTACTCATACTCGTTTTAATGAGTTTATTTATAGGAATAGACAATGGACTTGAAGACACGTATTTTGGGTTTTTTACAGCTTTTACCGTCAATCAGTTCCGATGGACAAAGCAAACAGGCTCATATCTTGTCTCTGTTTACTGGGCGGCGTATGCATTTGGACGCTTTACTGCAATTTTCATTGTACCACATTTTAAGCCATCAACATTGTTACGAATTTATATCAATATCGTATTGATAGCTACAATCGGAATATTTCTTTCTACAATGTTTGAATTTCCTGCTGGAATTTGGATATTTTCACCAGCAGTGGGATTTTCAATATCGGTGTTCTTTCCATCGATACTTCTATGGACAGAAGAGGACTTTGTTCCTGTTACTGGGAAAGTAGCCTCTCTTCTAATGTTTTCTGCTTCACTTGGATCGATGATTAATCCGATAATGATAGGGTACTTAATGGATAACCTTTCTCCCGAATGGTTTATTTATATAACGTTGGGTCAAACTTTTGTCTTGCTTGTTTTAACTTGGACTGTAACAGTTGTGTCCAGACAATCAAATAAATATTCATTTGATAACGAAATTCAAAAAAGCGTTGAAATCAAAGAAAGAAGAAAATAATGGTTTCCTGACTTTATTGGTGAAAATCGACAATTTTACATGTGCTTTCAAATAAAAGTGTTAGTTTTAACTCTGAGTATTAATTCGTACAAAAGATTACAAAGTGTCTTCTGTTAAAGCTGGTAACTAAAACAGAGGTAGGGACAATTCCCCCCGCATTTGTTTCACTTACAGTGGAAAAATCGTGAGGTTGTCAACACTGCTGGAATACAAATATTGAAAAGGCTATATAACATGTGGTAGGTCAGTATAAGGGGAACCACTTATGATAAGTTTATGATATTTGGTATAAAATTGTATGCATTAGCACATCTCACGGAGACTGTGACAGGGATATTTATCCGGCTGCGACTACCGCATAGGGTATTATATAAAGCTTTATACTCCAAAAGACAGACCTGGATAATGCACCTTTTCAGTTAAAAAAACATCATCACGTGACCACTTATTATGGTAGGTGCAAATAATTTCGAATTCTGATGATGATTTTTCATATATTCTACTAAAAAAATCCACGAAAGATTTACGATTAATTTGATAAAAACGTTAATTTTTTTATCGTTGTCCTCAGAAACATTTTTACTTATTTTTGGTCTGTTCTTTCCGTTTCAGTGGTACCCAATGAATTTCATGAATGACGATGATACACAGTGATATTATTGTAACATTAAAATTGAAGGTTGATAATTGCATGGAAAGCTAACTTGAATTATCAAGTTAACTAAAGATCCCGAATGAGCAGCGCATCCATTTGTATCTAATTCAGGAGGATGCCAAAGTTCATATGATACTACTAGTATTGTCTTGTGGGGTTGTTCAACAGTATTAACTACACACGAAGGGGTTTCAATGTTGGTATCGGTATATATTTACAGTAGGTAGTAAACTGATGTCAGTTCATATATTAAAATATTCAGGAATAACTGTAGTAAACAGATGTTAAACTCAAAATTTGAAACTCGTGTACTCGTGTACCCTAAAAAATTTAGAAGAGCTCTTTGGTATACATCTATTAATCCCCATCTGAATTGTGTTAAATTCAAATGATTGAATTTAGAGTTTTTATCCAATAATTAGCACATACTTACAACTTCTCGTCCAATCAAATTGCTTGAATTTGCCTTCTAATTTTCATAGTACATACTTTTTCCGTGTACCAATTAACAACGCATGAATGACCACAAGGGTAAGATTTCATTGTATCGTAATCAAGATATTAAAACAAAAATTGCCACTGCTATTTTGAAATAAAATGCTGTGTTCCAAATTAAATTAAATAGTTTGTAATTAGTTTTCACATTGATTTTTTAAATATCCTGCCATTAAAATCTTTGGATCTAAAAAATGTTTTTGACGATTGCAAGTTTCTTTCATTTAAATAAAGAGTAACAAATGTGGTTCTTTATACCTTGATTAAAGTACAACGCCATCTTGAAATTGTGATAATTTATCATCCATGCAATTACTTTGTACACAAAAAAGTCTGTACTTTGAAACCTTGTGAAGGGAAATTATGGCAACTTGATCTATTTCGTCGTGAATTGATTGATTGATTGGATGATTATTGTTTGCTTAATGTCCAGTGGCAAATATTTCATGCATGTTCAGGACGATGTCAGGAATATTGAAAAACCGTGATAATGTCTGAGGAGAATGGGCCACCTATATGTATATATACATGTTATGATAAATCTTTTAATTTTTATTATAAACCCTAGTATCTTTGATCTATTGGTAGTTGCTTTTTTATGACTATCCGCTAGACTACCTATTGGGGCGGATCCAGCCATTTTTTTAAAAGGGGGTTCCAACCATTCAAAAGCATTGATCGTCCAAAATAGGGGGTTTTCTGCTTTTGGTCAATTTATTTTGTCATCTTACCATGTAAAGAAGTACATGTATAGTAAAACACCGCTTTTTATCAATAAACATACTTACACCAGCAGCTACCATCTTTTCATTCTGGAGTCAAGGGCCTTTCGAAATCACATATTTTACCATGATACTAGCGAGTAGATTTACAAAACATCGTTAATGGGCCCCGTTTTACAAACACTTGTGATACAAGTAGTCAGCCAAAATAAACTATCAATAGACCAATTAAAAGATTACTAGAGTTGTAAATATGTGCTAAATTGGATAGTCTATGAAAAGGTATATTCTATGAAATTAAGAGCTCGAGGGCAAGCCCCTCGCTCTATATTTCATAGTATATACCTTTTCATAGACTAACCCAGACTGAATTGGTGATATTGTAAGTACAATTCTTTCTTTGGTTATAAAGCACGCGATAAAATATCGTTTCCAATACAATGGGACAATTAGGGTATTCTGTCTTAAAATTGAGGTTGAAGGTCGTCATTATATTTTGTGAACATTGAAAAAAAGTTGAGTTATATGTTTGTTTTTAGTAATAACTATTTTGATAACATTGCTAACAGTGATACCAGAAAAATAAAAAATGCCAACGCAAAAGGAAAATCTTGTTTTTTATCCAAATGTATCATACTTGACCAATGCAAAGAATGGTAAACTGTAACAATTTTTATAACGTTTTATAACGTTTATTATGGTTGAAATTTGCAACCGAAAAATTCTAAAAAAAAGAAATTGGTCTGTGTACACATATCCTGAGGGCTGTTGTCTTTTCGTTGGTTATCAGTATTTTGCCATTATATTGTCTGTTTTTCATCGACATATTCAGGCGCGTAGCTACGTTTACGTCAAAACGCCCGGGCGTACACATGAATTTAGAAGATAAAAATAATTTAATCTAAATAAATTTAAAGAACTGGTGAAAAGCACGTACACCTTGTACTTCTTTCTTTAATGGCTTGTAATTGGAGATAAAAGTGACAAAATTTACTTTTAATCAAATGGTATGTTATGTATTTGTTTATTGTCAGTTATAGTCTGAATCTACTGTGAATTCCACTTCGTATCCTATTGTTAAAAGCAATTTATTATATGTTGAGGTACAATATGCGGTTTCCATTTTTGTCGAGCATGCGTCATTCATGTTGCGAAACGAGTCTAAGCGATTCTAGATTCCATCCGCATCATCAACATTTAGGTTCAGTCTGTGGTTAAAGTTTGTTTTAAAACATTAAAAACATTGTCAAAACTTCCAGGAATTTTACGAAATTTGGACAGTAGCTTTTTATGATCAATTTAAAGACAGTAGCCACATTTTTAAAATATATTTTTATTTAACTGATAAATGAACGGATTTTTTTTACAGTTGATATTTGGACACAGTCTTAAAGTAGGTTAATGTTTTTCAGACATCAATAACTTTTCAAACCTTCATGGAATTTTACGGAAATAGGACACAAGCTTTTTTATACTAAAAGTCAGTATCCAGAGCATAATGGAAATATATTTCTACTTTTTACCGTATTTTGTTGCTTTATTGTTAAAAAGTATAGTAACAGTCTAATGTTAAAGTTTGTTACCCATCAACTACTTTGTCAAAACCTTCATCGAATTGAATGAAACTTTTTCAGAAGCATTTTACTGATAAGGAGATAATGTCAGAAGCAAAATTTGGAAAGTACATGTATTTGGTTTTTTTTTGTTTTTTGTTTTTATTTTGAAAGTATTTTATTGACTTTTTGCAATTAACAAACGGTCTGGGTTTTGTTTTTTTACATAATGAAATGTGTACACCTTCATAGATTGTTAGTATGAAACTTGTAAATAATCTAATTGGCATGATCAAGATCAAGAAAAAGCATCTAAATAAAAAATGTTTGATTTTTTTTCTAAAATCCTGTATTTGACTGCATGATAAAAGTATTCTTTTTACAGTCAACATTACACTTTAAAACGGACAGCAGCAGTCCCAAGCCAGATACAGGGTTCCACGAATCCCTTTTGAATTTTCATATTATACCTGACAATCTATGATAATTAACTATTTCTTATGTATTCATTAACGGAATTTGCGCATATGAATAGGAAAACAATAGTCAACATTGATATATTTTACAGTAACTGGTTTTTGGACATTTTCCCGAAGATCAATGATCAATATATTCCACATAAACACAATAAATGAATTGAACATAAAACTAAAATATAGACTCTAAAGCATGATTGTATCTTTTTCTCGATAACGTCCCTCGAACCCACTACCAAGAGGTTCCCTGCCCTAGAACCGTTGGTTCGCGGAGGTTCGGGCGTACACTTAACAATGGTCAAGCTACGCCACTGATATTATTTAAGATTGTCACTGTGATGTCTTCGGTCTCTTTTTCTCTTAACCCACTATTTCTTCGGAAAATGTCTTTACTAAATCAGGAAAATGACAGTTGTTTTTCACTTGTTCCGTTGATTGATAGCGTTTGATCTGTTCTGTTTTTATGGACTTTCCCTTGTTGAATTTGCCTTGGACTTCGGTATTTTCGTTATACTTTTTTCTCCCTACGAAGTCTGCAAAATCTTACAACGATTCGGCAATTTCCTGTGCCGGTTTGAATTTTTTAAAATGTAAAAATAACCAAAGAAGTTACGTTTCTCTTGACATCCAGTACACAAAAAAGTAGAAGAAAAGCCAATTTGGCGATCAAAGACAATATAAACTAATAAATAACACCAGATAATATCTGTGGTGACATACATAAATGTATTAATAGAAACACAAACTTAACAAAATTGACATAAAAACCGAGTAGACAGTCGTAATACTTTATATTGTGTTTACAAAGCAATTTCGTAGGTGCCCTAAAAAATGAAGATGTAGACCTTGACAACTTTTAAAAAACGTAAATGAGTCAATGATTATGCAAAAATTTTCAATGTCAAACTTGTAAATTCGACAAATACCCATCGGTACCGCACAGGCACTTGTCTCTAAAAATGTTTCCTACATACCTTAATGTAACATTAAGCATACGCAACTATTATCAGCATCCGCTTTGCGCATGCGTCAAATTTGACCACAATCGATATCGATAAATTTTCTATAGATTGTTTAAGGAAATCTTAAATTTTGATTAGCTGTCTGTAAATATCATTAAATTTCTTTTTCATTGGCATCAATTTTGAAAGTTCAACTTATAAGCTTTCTACAGATCTAATTTGTATTTTGATAAGGATTGCTGAAGTTAGGGCCTTTTTCAATTAAAGAACACCGGGTGCACGACCTATAACTTCATACAATACGAAACCAAAAATGTGTGCACATGGGTTTTCTTTAATGAATTGACATAAAATCTTTATAAGAAACAGCATTCGCATGTTTATTTATTTTCTGGTTTTTAATCTATCCAACAATATGAATTTCATATTTTACAATTTTTTTTGAATCAGGGCCTTTTTTATTCAAAAATCGAGTTGCGATCATTTTCTGAAGTTGACCAGAAATAAATATTCATGGATGAATAATTAACACATGACAATGTGATGACTTCTGTTATTCTCAGTAGTTCGTGTTTTTTTTTCTTTGTGACGGTTTAATAGCCTCTTTCTTTTCAAGTTTACTTTATAAATTGTAAATTTTAATGCACAAAAGTTTCAAATTAGAAAAAAAAATATTCTCCAAGATAAACCAATTGCCAAAGTCTTAAAAGAATAAGACAAGGGCAGCATATGTGCCAGTGTGGACTATATACGAAAATATTTGTATATAGTAATGCTAATTTAAAGATTACAAAACGGCAATCGCTTGAAATTGAAATAAATTGAACTAAAATACTTTAACAGTTTAAGAAACAAAATTTTAGATACATACATGTGAATTTACTAGTCTATTGCCTGTTTGGTGCACATTCTCCTTGTATACACTTAACTTTTAGAAAAATAAAACGCATTGAACAAAATAAATTATTTTTAATTTGTCTCCGTCCTTTCAAAAGTTTCTATCGTGAAAATTTTTTTTAATTTTGCAATTGAACAGTTATGTAAAATTTTTATTAAAAAGGAAAATTATTTTAATTATGTTTCTGTTAATGTAAAGTCTACGGAGAGCTGTCTCATTGGCACTCATACCACATCTTCTTACATTTATATTGTATAAACCGTGGGTTTTTATTGTTGGGCGCCAATGTAACCGGAGAGCATGATTCTACTTGCAAAATCGCATGTCTCCACCGGGACTCGAATCCGGGACCTCTGTGTTACAAGGCAGCGCGTTAACCGACTGAGCTAAAGAAGTACTTCCTTAGCTCAACCGCTTACGGCTGACTAAGTATCTACTAAATTTCTAAGGGAAGCAATCCCGTCACACATGTATTGATAGAGTGTCCATTGTAAGATGACCTGCGAACTGATCTTTTTAGAAAAATTTTGTCAGAACATCCAAACTTTTAAACATTTTCCAATTTGGAGACATTGTCTATTGTTCTAGCCAGTGAATGTGATAGAAGTGCCAAAATCTGCAAATTTATTTTACATAGAAGACGCTGCTTTTCACATCGTTAAATTTTTTGTCTTAACTGTAGACATTTTTAAAGAAATTTGAAAATTTAGCTGTACATTTATACTTATTCATTATTAATACGACATTTCTCTTTACAATACGTTTATGTAGCGTGTTTTCCATTGTGATTTAAAAACAAAATGAATCGTCGCGGGCAATGGTACTATAGTAGCATTAAGTGTTGAAGGCCCATTTTGAGAAAAGTGTCTCTGAGAAATCATGGCTGAAAAGTTAGTGAAAATAAAAATCAACATACAATTCTAGGAGGTAAAACAAGATAAAAAGCAGAGACTGAATTTATTCTTTTAATAAAAAATCAAAATGTTACAACGAGTTTGTGTTTGTGTATGTGTATTCAAATTCTACGTTATCTCATATTCGGGTTTACGTCGAAAGAAAGGTTTAAGATATATCAAAATCGAACAACATCGTGTGAACATTTCTATTGATGACTATAGTGAATCATTTTTCGATTATGTATTTTGTTATTACATGAATTACATCTATCCATATGAATTTTGATTGTCAACTCAATGCATACTTCTCTAAAAATGGTGTTACTGAAATCAAGAATATTATATCTAATATAACATAACCTCACAATTACAACCCTCTTGCTTTTGAAATTGTTAAAGAACAATTTTAATTTTATGTAAGTCCTTTTATAAACTATAACAAGCCAACGATTTAATGATAAATATAGATACATGTATATATGTTTGGTTATCATAATCTCGTATTTGTCCTTTTTCGACTGTTTATTTTGTATGTTTGATATTCGGTAAAATCGAATTTTATCTTTTGGAAATAAAGTCAGTTTATAAAACTCGTATTCATACGGAACCTAACATGATACAATGTCATATGGTTATAATATTGTTTACTTAGGGTTGTCAAATTATTTACGAATGTCAACATTGTCTTTACAAACTCAGCATGTTGTCTTGATAAGATATCACACACAGAAAAGACTGATCAGACGGATAAGAAATTAAAATCATGCGGGATAACTCGTACTGGCTTACACTGAGATAATAGTTGGCCATGGTATATAGGAATTTTTTCTCAGAGACAAGTGCCTGTGTGGTACCCATATAGATGATAAGAATAAAAGAAACAATACACGCATGAGATACACAAATGTTAAAAAGGAAGACACTTGCAATTGCATTACTAAACTGTTAAAAAAATATTGAAACAAATGTATGTCACTTCTATGCAGAGGTAATGTTCATCCTTAACATAAAAATAGAGGAAAACAAGATATTTTGTATTGCTTTGTCCGCATGTATACTCGAGGAATGTAAATAATCATTTATATTTTTAGTTGTATTATTTCTAATATTTAGTTTTTAATGGTTTGATTATGTCTTTTGGACTTGGGGAAAATGTTTAAGCATGATTGGGTTTGTATTTTCAGTACATTTCAAACACTTTGTAAGCGGTCAATTCAGATCTGTACATTTTCAGAGTATCAAGTATCATCAATTAACCTGTGCTAAAACTTGGTGCGTTTGAAACGCTTTTCTGGGTTTACCTTTATAAGAAACACTCAAACCTAAAAAAATGAAAGCCAGTTAAATTCAATTACTTGAAGAGCGAACCAAAAGATCTTAACACCGATGGAAATGTCTGAACAACAATGAATTTACACGAAGGAAAATATATGAGAAATAGTTTAAAATCTTTCAAGGCTTAACAGTTTTGTGGTCTGAAATTTTAGTTGTCTTTAAATGAAAACAGCACTTAATTCTCTATTTTTGCATCAGATGAAAATATGCATTTGCTTGGTTTTTTTTAGAAGCATACCCATCAGTATTTTCACTGCCTGCAACCATGTTATCATTCGAAAATAATATTGAAAATAATATTTGATAAATATAGGTTTTTGCATAGTTATTTATGCTGATATTAAAATGGCGACAAAATGAGCATACAGGTTAAATTATCATATGATTATATAAGTAGAATTGTTAAAAGATCTCAAGCAAACGGAATATTTCACTGATCTATCTTTTTAAGATTCATCGTATTATTTTATACAAATTAGTTTTATGAGACTTTATTTTCTGGTACATCCTGCATAAGTACTGACCGTTCAGGACTAGAATCTGCATCAATTTTGATTTCTTTATTAGACCTGTTTGTATTGTCGTTTAATTGTGGGAGTTTCTTTTTAAGAAGAATTGCTATCACAAAGAAAATTATTACTCCTACACTTTCTCCAAGAAGTATATATGAATACCACATCGGACTGACTTCTTCAATCAAATATCCTAATGCCGCTGGACTTGCTATAGATCCTAAAGTTGATGTCATAATGAACAATGACGCAATTTTACCTGTAACCAATAAAAAGTCTTCTTCTGCCCACGTGAACAAAGTCGGGAATAATATAGACATAGCAAATCCAGTCACAGCATTAGAAATCCATACGGTAACAGGAGAATTTATCATAGGTGAGAATGATAACAGCAGAAACGATATCACGAGTATAAATGAATATATACCAATTAAAGGTATTGACTTAACTATATTGCTTATGGGGATTCCCGACAATCTCCCAAATGCAAAGAAAGTCCAGAATACGGCTGTCACATATGATCCTTCTTCTTTAGTCATGTTCATCTGTTCAACACAAAATGTTGCCACATAAGCACCTATGGTGTCTTCCATCGCAGTGTATAGTAGAAAAATAATAGACATTATTGTCAAAATTACTAATTTGACAGGAAAAGATAAGCGACGTTCATTTCGATCAATGTTAACCTCATCGGTATGCCGTTTGGCTAGTCTTCTGGATTTAATATAAACAATCAAAAACGATACAGATGAAGACATGGCAAGGACACCTGATATTGTGTATGGAATATATATAAGTGAATTCTTTTGCGTATGAAACGTTGTACTTCTATTCACAGTGGTTATATTATTCATATGAAATGAAATGTTATCTGTGCGTACATTTTCAGTCTGCATAACTAATGAAGTTTGGTTTATCATAGACGAATTTACTCCATTATCATACTGTTCTGTGAGAAATGGTGCCGTGACTAAAGGACTAGCTATTCCCCCTGCAGCAAATGCAAAATGCATGGCCTGCATATAAGGGCTGACTTGATTTCCGAATAGACTCAAGAGCTCTGAATTTGCAACTGAAAAGTAAAACAATACATTAGATTTTAATCAATTTATAATGATCTTTTTTACAATATTTCATTTTCCATGGAAATTTAGTCGATATTGGTACGTAATTCTAGGTTTATCCAAAAGATTATATATTAGAGCTTTTATTATATCAGTTGTAAGAGAAACAGACTTTAACCAGTTAATCAACTTGGATTACTAGTAGATTAACAATAATGTGAAAGCCAGAATGTTGTGTATATCGAGGATTTCATGCGATGTTTACAAAAACAGTATTCTTGTAAATCCAAGCAGACCTTCAACAAAGGAGTTAGTGATCACAGGAGTGATACCACATGTCAACCAAATAATCCTCTCTGTTAAACATATTTGTATAGATGGTAACACTGAGAGGGATCTGTACAGGGCAAATATCACTGATTTCAAATCTCGATTTGACATTCTGAAAGACACGAACGAGAAAATATTCGGCTCCAGAACCGGGAGGTGCATAGGAAATCTCCCAAGGGTACGGATAGAAATTATAAAGTTTTTCACCTTATTCACATCTTTTAATGTCTTTTTTCATCAATCGACTGAGTTTCAATTTTCAATTTGAATTGCATGAAATATTTAAAAAATCATTTCACATTGAAACATGCAACAATCTAGGTCATCATGAACATCCATTTGATATGCACTTTTATAGGATGTTGAACTGTTTAAATCTATATCTTCACATCCAAGTGTAGGTGCACGATCATCCTTCTTTCAATATCATACTTTCGAACATTTGTCTCTTGCTTTTTTGGGCGTCGTTGGCTGCTATAGGATGTTATGTCATAACTCATTTATGCGCTTACAAGGAATCTAATAAACCAAGTGCTCCAAGTGGTAAAGTTCTTACTTACATGAGCAACACGACGGTGCCACATATTGAGCATATTTTCATTCAGAAGCACCTGCGACCACCCCTATAATTTTGTTTTAAGGGGTTCGTGTTGCTCTTGCATAATTATAAGTGTTATTAGTAGTGTGAAAAGGCCGATTCTGCCGCACTTCCCCATTTTAAGGGGAAATCCTGCATAGGACCCCCAACCCCGAGGCTAAGATGCAATCCAACAGCGTCCCTTCTTAGCGTATAATAAATCATGACTTTTGTACACAATGGTTTCGTCGACACAGACGACTTTATTAGCGAAGACACATTAGAGGGAAGGGTGTCCCAAATTAAAATAAATAAAAGGATGGCATCGGGTAAGAATATTATGGATCAGTACGCAGATTTCCTTTTGGAGAATGGGAAAGATTTGGAGGATAGCACCTCAACCCCAGTTCCAGCCCCAACCCCAACCCCTCAACAGTGCTGCGACAACCCAAATATGGCACAGATGGATCCGACCACCCAGATGTGTCAAAACTGCGGCGCTCAGTCGACAAAGCTGAAATTTGAAGACCAGCCAGAAGAATGGGTGAGACACACCTGCGGTGTCCCACTGAAGAGGAAGAAGGGGCCGTTCTGCAAGAGCAAATCGGGAATGGACGGTCTCTGCTGGAGACATAGGAAGCAATCGCGCCAACAGGACGATGACGAGAACATCACAATCACAGGCAAAATTGTGGTAAAAGAGACCATGAAGGCACTCCGTCAAATAGCTAAGGATAAGGGTTTGAGGGGGGTCAGCAGGATGTCGAAGAAAAAGTTGGTCAAACTAATCGAGGAGAAAACCAACCGAAAATTTGCCCGCGAAGAGGTCTTCACAAAGAAGGAGCTGAAGGCCATCGCCAAAAGACGCGGAATCACCAAATATTCCCGACTAGGAAGAGCAGCCCTAACCGACCTGGTGAAGAAGGATATCGAAAATGCCCCATTGGAAGACGAGATCAAGGTAGTTGACCGACGCGATGCATTGAAAGGAGTTTTTGGCACAGTCAGAATTAACCCGCTCCAGCAGCATGATTTGGAAACGTTTTTCCAGGTAAGTCGCAGCACCATCTCCAGGACAATCGAAGATGCCTTCACCCGAAAGAAGGGCTTGAAGGTACAGCTAGTGCTGAAAGTGGAGCTGGTTAAAACGAATCCCGCGACCGGGGGGAACACCTACGTCATTCCTTACTTCAGATCAGCCCAGACAGTCATCACCGAATCAGCAGACCTCGACTTCGAGATTGCGGTTATGGTAAGGAAGATCTAGGAAAGCATGTCAAGGTATATGCGCGAGGGTAGTGGATGGACCTTTGCCCACATCGAGCAGCTAGAGATCCACCCGAACAAATTTAAGCCACTTAGGGGCAGCTCCCACATACCACTCCCAAAGCCACTCGCTCAGAAGAAGGCCGTCACCAACAACCAAAACCAAGATCAGGAGTGCTTCCGCTGGGCCATTCTCTCAGCCCTACATCATGGGGAAGTCGATCAGAAGTCGACACACCGCGTAAGCCAGTACAAGCAGTGGGGGGATGAGCTAAAATTCGATGATATTGACTTTCCAGTATCCCTCAATCGATAAATTCGAGATGCGGAATGCAGACCTTAACATCAACGTCTTTGGCTATGATGGTCTGAAGAAGGGTGAGGATGGGGAAGAGGACCTCCAGATATATCCCCTAAGGATATCCAAGAACACCGGCGCGCAGCACGTAGATCTCCTTTTCCTAACCAGCGATAGCAAGCAGCAATACTGCTAGATCAAGACCTTTTCACGACTCTTGAGCTCGCAAGTGACGGAGCACGGGCACGAGCTCTTCTTCTGCCGCAGGTGCCTGTGCCACTTTTCCAGACAGGACATCCTCGACGAGCATATGGAGTACTGCGGTCAGAAGGAGGCGGTCAGAATCGAGATGCCGGAAGAAGGATCCTTCATCAGCTTCCAACATCACAAGCGTCAGATGAGTGTTTCATTCACCATCTACGCGGATTTCGAGTGCTTCACGGGAAAGATGGATACCTGCCAACCCGACCCATCGCGAGCATACACGAAGGCATACCAGCTACATCGACCATCGGGTTTCTGCTACCGCGTGAAGTATGCCCAAGGCGACTACAAGGAATCGGTCGTCTACTGTGGGGAGGATGCGGCCAAGAAATTTATGGAGTGCATGGAAAAGGAAGTTGGGGAGATCGACAAAATCTATCGGGACAACAAACCCTTGACGATGACGGACGAAGATAAGGAGAGCTTCGCGGCGAGTACACTCTGCCACATTTGCGGTAGCGCATTGGGTAAGGATAAGGTACGGGATCACGATCACCTCACGGGTAGGTATCGCGGCGCCGCACACAACCAGTGCAATCTTGACTTTCAGCTCCCCAAATACGTGTCCATCGTCTTCCACAACCTGAGTGGGTACGACGCCCACCTTTTCGTGAAGGAATTAGGATTCGTGGAAGGGAAGATCACCTGCACCCCCAACACCGACGAGAAGTACATCAGCTTCTCCAAGAAGGTGGGAGACCTTGAGATGAGGTTCATCGACTCCATGCGATTCATGCTCAGCTCTCTCGAAGCCTTGGCAGGGAATCTTACCAAGGACAAATTCAACGCGACGCAGAAGTGCTTTGGCGACCGCTCCGAACTGATGCTTAGGAAGGGGGTATATCCCTACGATTATATGGATGGGCCCGCCAAGCTGGAGGAAACGCAGCTACCGCCCAAGGAGGAATTTTTCAGCAGACTCTATGGCACGCACATCAGCGATGAGGAGTACGAGCACGCACAGCAGGTCTTCGAGAAATTCAGCTGTCGGACGATGCAGGACTATCACAATCTCTACCTGGAGAGCGACGTAGCAATACTGGAGGATGTCTTTGAGGATTTTAGGGATACGTGCATGGTGAACTAAGAGCTTGATCCCGCACACTACTTCACAGCCCCGGGGCTATCCTACGACGCGGCGCTGAAATTCACTGGGGTCCGACTGGAGCTTCTCTCAGATCCGGACATGCTGATGATGTTCGAGGGTGGGACTAGGGGGGGGGGGGTGTGGCCATGATCTCCCATCGATATGGCAAGGCCAACAATCCCTACATGACCGACTACGATGCGTCGCAGCCGACCAAGTATCTGACCTACTTGGACGCCAACAATCTCTACGGGTGGGCCATGGCGCAACCCCTTCCCACGGGGGAATTCGAATGGATGGAGCCGTCAGAAATCGAGGACATCTTGAGCTATCCGGACGACCACGAATATGGCGCCATGGTGGAATGCGACCTGGAATACCCCCAAGATCTCCACGACGATCATAACGACTATCCTCTCGCGCCGGAGAATGTGGAGATCGACGAGGTGCGTAAGCTGGTGCCTAACCTAGGTAAGCGCACAAAGTACATCCTCCACTATCGAAACCTCAAAATGTATATGGGAAGGGGGATAAAGCTCGCCAAGGTCCATCCCCTCATTGGATTTAGGCAATCCCCATGACTCAAGCCGTACATCGACAAAAACACCGAGCTCAGAGCCGTGGCCAAGTCCGACGCCGAGAAAGATTTCTTTAAGCTCATGAATAATTCGGTCTTCGGCAAGACCATGGAAAATATCCGCAAGAGGGTCGATGTCCGGCTGGTCACCAACGAGAAGCAGGCGTTGAAGCTCGTGGCCAAGCCCAACTTCGATCGAAGCTTAAGTTCGATAAGCCCGTCTACTTGGGAGCATGCATCCTGGATATTTCGAAGATCCTGATGTATGACTTCCACTACGGATTTGTGCGGAAGATGTATGGCGACGACGCCCGGCTGCTCTTCACCGACACCGACAGCTTGGCCTACGAGATCCGAACCGAGGATTTCTACAAGATTATCGCTCCCCATGGCCATGTCCAGGAGAAATTCGACACGTCGAACTATCCGGCTGACCATATCTCCGGAATTCCAGTCGGCGCAAATAAGAAGATCATCGTCATGTTCAAGGACGAGTGCGGCGGCAAGAGCATGACCGACTTTGTGGGACTCCGGCCGAAGCTATACGCCTACAAGATGGATGACGGCGCCGCCACCAAGAGAGCCAAAGGAGTCGCGAAGACCACCATC